ACTTCTCTCAATCTTTCCTTTATGCGAAATTGTGTTAAATGTAATTCTTTTTATTTTTTCTGAATAGGGTGTAATTCCATTGAAAGAGAACGGTGGGCTTATTGAGTGGGTTAGCAACACACAACCGTTTCGCAACATTCTGACTTCCCTCTATGTTGAGATCGGACGGCCTTTCAATTGGGTAACAATGAATCGTTATGCTCCACTCCTTGAGGATCCACTTGAGTAAGTTTGGTTCCCATTCTGTACTTCTTGGCCATCAATATTGGCGCACTAGATTCGACAGCCAGCAATGTACCCCACTTTAATGCAAACTGAATTTGCTCCCTAACCTGTATTGTCGCATATTATCTATCTCCTTAGCGTGAAACGAGAAAAATTCCTGACGAAACTTCTTCCCATGTATCCACTTGTTTTCTATCGTTGGTTTATCAATGTTTTCCCCAATCCAAGTGAATGGTAAGTTGCTGGGCTTTTTTGGCATTCATGCGCTCTGTATCGCTACTGGTAGTGCATTTACCTCCCCCCGTAGGTACGAGGCAAGGGAGACGTACGTGCGCACTTGTGCCGTGATGAGTATGGTGGGCTATGCTTTAGGCCTAGGTGATCGTCACACGGAGAACATACTCTTCGACTGCATCACAGGGGGACTGGTACATGTTGACTTTAGTTGTGTCTTCAACACAGGCCTTACTCTACCATGGCCAGAACGCGTGCCTTTTCGGCTGACGCGCAGCCTTGTGCACGCCATGGGTCCCACAGGCTTTGAGGGCACCTTTCGACGCTGCGCCGAGGTCACCATGCGCTTATTGCGTCGTGAAATAGATCCTCTCATGGCTGTATTCAGACCCATCTACTTCGATGCTCTTGTTGAGAAGAGTTCCGATACTAACGCCTCATCCGAGTCTGGTAACTGGGCTTTTATTTAATCCATTTTGCAAATTTAAGTTCATGGCTCTGAACAGCCAAGTCTTACTCTCTACTGGAAATTTTGTTTGATGTTCGATCACCGGACAAAAGTGTCTTGAGATCTGCTGCAACACGAATGCCTTTTATGGCAGATGATTGTTGACATATTTCACATTACACAATAAACGCACACCTCTAGAAGCCCTGTTGTATTTTAACAGGTCACCGGGGCCGTAAGGGTGGACATGAGTTACCCTCTGAGAGCAAACTTACGCGTTCAGCAATCGAGAAGCTTAAAGGCATGGAGGATCGCCTTCGAGGCAAAATCACCGAACATGATGACTTTAGTAAACTCCTTCCTATGTCTGTGGAGGGGCAGGTATGTATCGCACTTCACGTGTTCTGCGTTCAGTAAGAGATCAATTTTGAGACGGCATTTTGCTACTCTTCTCATAGGCTTGTTGGATCAAATGAAAATTCGGTGAATTTCGACCATTTTTAAAGGGTTAGGTTCTCCTTCTAAATATTCCCTTTAGTTGCTGGCCCCAATGCATGGTCATGTCAGTTGAATCAAGTGCAAATTCACGAAGTGGTTCGTGTCGCTCGGCCTCGAAAGAGTTTTAATGTCAATGTCAATGTCTTTTAGATTTCAGTTTAGCTACCACCTCATTTAAATACTGTGTTTTAAACGCACCCATATATGGTATAAGACGACAAATCCATACAATCCATCCATCTTTCACTGTAAATGCTTATTTAAAAAAGAAAAGTATTACGTTTGTCAACGGAGTTTAAACGTTTGCAGCATTGGGAGCAATAGCAGCCGAATATGATTTAATCCACAAGATTATCGTTTACACTAGTTACAACAGTGTCTGTGAAGCAATTTCGCAAAGTAGTAAACTAAATTGTTTGAAAAGTGCATTCAACCTCTGATCGTATCGACTAGGGGAGGATTTTCTAACTGTGGATTGCTTGACTGTTGCTATCGTGAATATGATCCTCGATAAAAGTCGGTGTGCTTCTCTAGGTGGACGTCTTAATCAAAGAGGCAACGTCAGTCGATCGTCTTTGTCAAATGTACAAAGGGTGGATGCCTTTTTTGTAGAATCCTCTTTAGTTTTGCAACACTTTAATAATACACACTTTGCAATCATTTTATGATTGTTTTCATGTCAATGTTTTCTCAACTGCGGTATTGCAAATGGGGTTTAATTAAATAAGCGATTTAAATGGATCATAGGTTTTAGGCAAACATCCAGACTTTCCTAGGTAGTGGATTACAAATATGAGCATTATCATATTTCCAGCAGCAGAATCAACTCATATAGAGAATTTGAATAAAAACCTCTGTATTGGTTGCAAAAACAATGGAGTCTAGCCGTACAACAACTACTATGACTGGAAGGACACATTCATTGGGGCTGAGAGCTGGGCTCTCTCGTTAAACTGTTCCTCTCTTATTGTCACTACAGTTGGGCGAACCTCGTTCTCAGGTTCTAATGTCTCCAGTGTTATTCTGATAATGTGTGCGTATACGGGGCACTTGCTCCAACTGCTTCTTCTCAGATAGGCAGTTACCATTCAGAATGCTTTCTAGCAAGGTTAAGTCTTTGTCGCAAGCGAAACATTTCGTCAGTGCTAAGAAAGGAATAACAAGGATTCTCGAAAATTCGATTCACTTGTTGCAGTGTTGGTGGTGACTGTGGCGCTCTGTGCCTGTAGTTTAAGCAGCCAAAATAGTCATTACCCGCAATGTTAACTTCGACGACTGTTCATTCCCAGCAAACCGCCATGGGTTTGTAAGGTAACCAGATTAGTATATAGCCTTCTTCTTGCGTAATTCAATGAGGTTTGTCATTCCACTTAAATGCAATT